AAAAAAATTTGTAAACACATTGAAAGCCAATTAATCCGTTCCAGAGGTCAGAAAAAAGTCTTATCTGTTCAAAACTCTTTATAAAGTGCACTTTAAAGGCATAGTACTGTACAGGGACATGATTAAAAAAAAATTTGTAAATGCATTGAAAACCAATTAATCAGTTCGTATTGCAAAAAAAAAAATTCCTAAACCGAGCCATTATTTTCAATGTATTTTCATTTGTAAACTGAAAATTACATCAACCGAGGCGTTCGTATTGTTTTGAGTTAGAGAACTTTACTCTCTTGTGTTGACAGTACTGTTGGAGTATGAAAATTGTATAGATCCTTATGGCTCAGCATATGAGCACTCAGTGACGTGTTTGTGCTATGTTGTATGAAAACAGACTGTGTTTATATTCTGTATAGTTTAATTGCTCCCATGATCAGAGAACAGCATAATTCATGTTTTATGCCTCTTAAAGTGATACTAAACATAGAAGTGTTAATTGCTATAATTCATTCACATAAATCATATATATCATAACACTGTATTTTCTTTCTTTTTTTTTTTTTTTCTTCCTCTAAGAGCCTTATTCCTGCAGTAGTGTTGTGTGGTCATGTGATCTTTGTAGGGGAAAGACCCTTGGGAGGAGCTTCTATTACCTTGCTGTTGTATGCTCTCTATGTCTGGCTAGCCCTGATTGGTGCTGTGCCAGTCACATGATTAAAAAAGCAGTTTCAGAAGAGCAATTCAAATTAAATGATATATATAAAAAACAGTTATGTATAGCTCCCTATAAATCTTTATTGAACATCCAGATTTATTTATGCATTAACATGTGGTATGGGCAGAGTCCAACATGATTGACGCTAGCCTTCATTTTGTTCAGACGGCATCTGCTTCCAAGGCTGTTTTTTTTTTTTTTACATTATATGTATTAGAAATTACATTTGATATGTTTATTACTGATTTATATTAAACTAAACGTTTTGTGAGTTTCTAAGTGAATGTAAGGAGTCTGCATACTATATCCTGTCCCCACAGTGTTTAGCAATAGGAGGACATGGAGAAGGAGGAAGGGAGAGGAGGGTCATTTACCACTGTGTATACACCTACATGTGTGACTATAGTCACAAGGGCTGCACAGGTAAGAAAATGGAGGAAATTAGGAGGTTAGAAGGAATTGAAATTGAGCATGCTCAGTAGAGGACACCAGCTGGTCTACACAGTCTCAGGCTGCAGTGGGAACACATCAAATACTTTAGTGGCTTTGTGAGTACGCACACTCTGTTATACAGCATTAAATAGAGTTTTTCATTGTCTGGATTTAATTACACTTTACCTATAGTTCTGTTTATTTGAGAAAAGGTACATGCTAGTCTATCAGGTTTTCAAGGTCCAGTGGTTCAATTTTTAGCTGGTTTGTATGCTATTACGTCATAATCAGTGTAATTCATCATAGAACTAATTCAGCCTTTTGATACTGAAAGTATTAAAACAAAAGTGCTACAATGCTACTAAAAGGACTGCAGCACTCTGTTTGCCCAGAATCCTGGGGCATTCTAATGTGCACATTTTCAGTTGGTCACCCATAAAGCTTTACAATCCTTTCACTCTAGGAAGTGTCAAAATTGCACAACAAAACAACTCAAGTTACAGTCAGGTCCATAAATATTGGGACATCGATACAATTCTAACATTTTTGGCTCTATACACCACCACAATGGATTTGAAATGAAACGAACGTTGTGCTTTAACTGCAGACTGTCAGCTTTAATTTGAGGGTATTTACATCCAAATCAGGTGAACGGTGTAGGAAATTACAACAGTTTGCATATGTGCCTCCCACTTGTTAAGGGACCAAAAGTAATGGGACAATTGGCTTCTCAGCTGTTCCATGGCCAGGTGTGTGTTTATTCCCTCATTATCCCAATTACAATGAGCAGATAAAAGGTTCAGAGTTCATTTCAAGTGTGCTATTTGCATTTGTTGCTCTCAACACTCAAGATGAGATCCAAAGAGCTGTCACTATCAGTGAAGCAAGTCATCATTTGGCTGAAAAAACAAAACAAACCCATCAGAGAGATAGCAAAAACATTAGGCGTGGCCAAAACAATGGTTTGGAACATTCTTAAAAAGAAGGAACGCACTGGTGAGCTCAGCAGCACCAAAAGACCCGGAAGACCACGGGAAAACAACTGTGGTGGATGACTGAAGAATTCTTTCCCTGGTGAAGAAAACACCCTTCACAACAGTTGGCCAGATCAAGAACACTCTCCAGGAGGTAGATGTATGTGTGTCAAAGTCAACAATCAAGAGAAGACTTCACCAGAATGAATACAGAGGGTTCACCACAAGATGTAAACCATTGGTGAGCCTCAAAAACAGGAAGGTCCAGATTAGAGTTTGCCAAATGACATCTAAAAAAGCCTTCACAGTTCTGGAACAACATTTTATGGACAGATGAGACCGAGATCAACTTGTACCAGAGTGATGGGAAGAGAAGAGTATGGAGAAGGAAAGGAACTGCTCATGATCCTAAACATACCACCTCATCAGTGAAGCATGGTGGTGTTAGTGTCATGGCGTGGGCATGTATGGCTACCAATGGAACTGGTTCTCTTGTATTTATTGATGATGTGACTGCTGACAAAAGCAGCAGGATGAATTCTGAAGTGTTTCGGGCAATATTATCTGCTCATATTCAGCCAAATGCTTCACAACTCATTGGACGCCGCTTCACAGTGCAGATGGACAATGACCCACAGCATACTGCAAAAGCAACCAAAGAGTTTTTTAAGGGAAAGAAGTGGAATGTTATGCAATGGCCAAGTCAATCACCTGACCTGAATCCGATTGAGCATGCATTTCACTTGCTGAAGACAAAACTGAGGGGAAAATGCCCCAAGAACAAGCAGGAACTGAAGACAGTTGCAGTAGAGGCCTGGCAGAGCATCACCAGGGATGAAACCCAGCGTCTGGTGATGTCTATGCATTCCAAACTTCAGGCTGTAATTGACTGCAAAGGATTTGCAACCAAGTATTAAAAAGTGAAAGTTTGATTTATGATTATTATTCTGTCCCATTACTTTTGGTCCCTTAACAAGTGGGAGGCACATATGCAAACTGTTGTAATTCCTACACCATTCACCTGATTTGGATGTAAATACCCTCAAATTAAAGCTGACAGTCTGCAGTTAAAGCACATCTTGTTCGTTTCATTTCAAATCCATTGTGGTGGTGTATAGAGCCAAAAATATTAGAATTGTGTCGATGTCCCAATATTTATGGACCTGACTGTATATGAAGGCACTGCTAGATGCCTGTAATGTAGTGCTGCAGTCTGCAGTACCAATATGTCACTGACAGATTTACATCAAAGAAAACCTGTCATGGGGAAATGCCTGGTTTGCCATAGCTGACTTCCTCATGAATGTACTAGGAGCCTGGCTGTCTCTTTCACTACTCTTTGAATCAGACCTGAAACAAACATTCAACACAAGAAGTCATGACTCAGGATCTGACCTTTTTATGGGTATATGACTAAAAAAACTTTGAAGCCAGAGGGTCAGCATGACAACCAATTTGCTAGCATTTTCAGGAGAAAATCAGCTATGGACACCCATGTTTTTTGAAAAAGTGTTCTTTAACTCCTTGGCGCTGACCATACGCAAAATATGCTGCCGTTCAGTGGCTGGGCCTTGACACTGAGAGGCCACATATTTGCATACCCAATGTAAATAAACATGTGCCAAGAGCATGCACCCTGCGTGTTCCGTGCAGGTTTACCAGTGCCTTACGGAAACATCTCGATCACTACTTTATGATCAGGAGCATTCCCATCATGTGAGCACTGTGACAGCCAATCATGGCGGTCACATGACCATAAACCCCTCCCTGCTTCCTGGTGTCACAAACTCTTTAAAGGGCCAGGAGGCACTAGCGCCAAGAGGTTAGGCAGAGAATGTTGATCACATTCCCTGATATACAGATGACCATTGGAGAAACATTTACAAATTCATTAAAGCTTATATCGAAACCTAAGTATGAAATAGTTATGCAATATATGCAAATAATTTCTGATTGCAGAACAAAAAGGACACTCACTCTTCAGAAGTATCATGGGCATCTGGATTCTGTCACTCCCAGTAGTGTCTTCTCCTGAACCCTTGCAGCTTCATATTTTTAAAGGACAGTATTGCTGAGAGCAGACTGATGATATACAGTATAATGGTATTAACATTCCAACAACCACAAACTGGGATCATTCATTCCCAGGGGCATATGCCAGAAAGCATATTTCTTTAATTGATATTTTGGAAAGAGAATAGAAGTTTGATGGCATCAAGGGAATCAGAATAAAAAATCAGCACCCTTCATTAAAAATTTTGGAAAAGGGGCTTTAAACAGTTTGCCTGCTTAGGCTCCATGCACAATGGGCATTTTGATAACGTTGGTAACATTAGCTGTGTAAAGTCACGTTAAAAATGTAAGTTTTGCAGGTTTTTGTAGTGTTTTTGTATATAGCGGTTAGCAGTGTTTTGCCGCGTTTAGCAGTGTTTTCCTGCGTTTTTCAGCATTTACGATTTTTTTTTGGTTTTTTTTTTTTTCCCAAAAATTATTTTTTGGGGGAAAAAACTTCAAAACGTTGGTTTGCAGCATTTTACCATGTTTTGCTGCATTTTTCAGCATTAGAGCGTTTTTACCGCTAAAAGCTACTCTAGAAACCCACTAGTCCAGGGGTTTTTTTTCCAGCCAAAAAACGTTGATAAGTCTATGTGTGCATGGACACATAGGATAACATGCTGGGGAGTTTACTGACTGTAGAAAAAAATGTTAAAAGCCAAAAACAGCAGCTATAAAAACATCCAGTGTGCATGAGTACTCATACTGAGACTAATAGACATAATTTTTGTCTGCTGTTATGTATCATAACCATAATCTCTACTTCTTTTTCTGACAGCACCTGGTGATATCCTGAGCACACTACAGAGATCTTCAAACACTTTACAGTCATGACATCTGTATTGCCAGCTCAGAAAGAAATGGGAAGTGGAACATACACATTCTCTAGCCATCCCAGGGTGGTTCAAAACCGTCGTAAATACAGGACAATAGAGCTACCTACGTGAGTGAATGATTCATGAACTACAAATGCTGCACATTTTTAAAAATACATTTTTTAAAAATATATTCTTCAGATTTTTTTAACATAAAAAAAGTAATTTTAACATATATTTTTTCATATATTTGTAAATGCATTCCAAAAATGTAGAGTTGTATTTTTAGACATACAGTATATTTGAAATTTATTTTTAAAAATATTTTTTCATATATTTTGTAATAAAAACGCATTTCAAAATGCAGTGTATATACAGTTGTGTTCAAAATAATAGCAGTCAGACATCACTAACCTGATCAATCACTGTTTTTGGTAGAAATTATATTTCTACATGGCAAATAATTTACTAGCAGGTGTAGTAGAGTAACAGAAATCCAACAGACCCAACAGTCATGACATGCATGCTGCTGATTCTGTGTAATTGAATCACTAATTGAAAGGGACATGTTCAAAATAATAGCAGTGTGGAGTTCTATTAGTGAGGTCATTCATTCTTTGAAAAAACAGGTGGCAATTATTGCCCTTATTTAAGGAAGGAAGGCAGCAAATGTTGTACATGCTGGTTACAGTGCATTTCTCTCTGAAATTCTGAGGAAAATGGGTCGTTCCAGACATTGTTCAGAAGAACAGCGTACCTTGATTAAAAAGTTGATTGGAGAGGGGAAAACATATAAAGAAGTGCAGAAAATGATAGGCTGCTCAGCTAAAATGATTGCAAATGCTTTAAAATGGCAA